AAAATTGTCCATGTTTCCAGACAATAAGATTTTATATAAACCCAAAAGATTAAAAAATATACAATAGAGCCCTGGCCGGTTTGGCTCAGCGGTTAGAGCGTCGGACTGCGGTCCGGAGAGACCCGGGTTCGGTTCCCGCTAAGGGCATGTACCTTGGTTGCAGTTTGTCCCCGGCCCTGGTTGGGTCGTGTGGGTGGCAACCACTCGATGTGTCGCTTTCATGTCGATGTTTCTCTCTCTCTCTCTCCCTCTCACTCTATCTGAACAAAATATCGAAAAATGTCCTCGGATGAGGATAAAAAAAAAAAAAAAAAAAAAAAAAAAAAAAAAATAAACAATAAAAAAAATTAATTTAATAAAGTTGCAGGATACAAAATCAACATAAAAATAAGTTGTTTTTCCATATACAAACTATATAAAAAAGGAAATTAGAAAACTATGAACATTGATGAAAGAAACTAAACAAGACATACAAATAAAAAGGCATTTGTGTTCATGGACTGGAAGAGTTTATATTCATAGTATCAAAAATAATCTATAAATTAATGCAATCCCTATCAAAATCTCAATGGCATTTATTTTTTCAGAAATAGAGTAAACAATTGTAAAATACATATGGAACCACAAAAGACTATGAATAACCAAGTCAATTTTATGAAAGACCAAAGCCAATACTTTTAAATTTTAAATAATATTACAAAGGTACAGTAATCAAAACAGTATGATAGTCGCATAGAGAAAGATGTAAACCAATGGAACAGAATAGAGAGCCCAGAATTAATCTATGCATATCCAGTCAACTGATCTTCAATAGGGTACATACTAAAGACATAACAGTGTCTTCAACAAATGGCACTGGGAAAATAGATAGCCATGTGTAAACAAATAAAATTGGACCCTTATCTTACATCATAAACAAAAATGAATTCTAAATGAATTGAAGACTTACATATAAGACATGTAGTTCACTGATATTCACCACTGTATATATTTTCAGTATACAGAATATGCATACTACTTTTAATAAATGTTTATGTTTTAACTTTTTGTATTATAAATACTTTTGCTATCAACATTGTAGTGCATGTCTCCTTGTATTTAAGTACAAATAATTTAGTAGTGTACAACACCATCCCTAAACAGGAAAATTTTGTTGTTTAGTATATGCACATCTTGAACTTTATAGGTGATATTGTAAATGGGTTTTCAACAAAACTTTAAAACACCTACACTGGTATTCTGCAGTTGGAATTTTCGTGGTTATTATAGTAGGAAGAAAATATCCAACTAGATTCTTCCCCTTTCGTCAAAATAAAAGATTGGTTCATAACAGAATGCTAATGGTATGTCTTCACTCACCATCATGAGCTTTAATACAAGTGGTCATTTCTCTGGAAAATGTATCAAAGGTTTCCATGTCTGAACAACTAGTGAATGCTTCTCAGCCCTTATTTGTACTAGATCTGACTTTAGCAAGATTTAACAGCTCCTCTTTCTGGAACTTGATCTTCTGCCTTCCATGATATTACATTTTCCCAGGTATGTTCCTACTCCTCTGCCTACTTTACTGTCAAATAGTAAAGGTTTGTCTATTATATAAAAGTATCATGAAAATCTTTATAAAGGAAAGAGAATAGTTAGGACCACTGTAACTTGGTCTGCATTTATTAGGGATTAAGGTTTGGTGTCATTAAGCAACTTGGACCCAAAAGCAGGAGTCCGTGCACTAAAAAAGTATAAGCACTGAAAGAAAATACTACCAAGGAAAGTGTTTTCCTGCTACCAGAGTGAGGGCATTTACTCTCAGACTTCGCAAGTTGTCCCGTGTTCAGCAGGAGGCAGAGTTTTTCACATTTCAGACACAAAATTGAAAGTGTCTGTTTCCTTCTCTGCTCACATACTTAGCTCTGTGTTTTTGTTAAAGGAAGCATTCAACAACCTGCCAGCATACACACACTGGATTAGAGACTCTTATCATGTGGAGGGGCTCAGGCCAGTACAGAAAGACACTATTGGAAAATTACAGTCAAGAGAGTAATTCTATCTTAACATTCACTGGCTCAAGAAATCAACTATGGTTCTCTTCCTTAGTGTTTTATACTGCAAACCTGTTGTTTTTAATTTTGTGAGCGCTGACAACCCACTGTGCTGAAACAGCAGCTCTTAATAAGAACACAATAATTAGATAGTTAGAGCCTGCCTGATATTTAGATATTCAGAGAGGTTGCATTGTACAGAAACAAGTTTGCAAAATTGTTTATTTTTTTCGCTCTGATTTATCGGATGATTTCTCTTTAAGTATTATCATATGGTATATGTTATAACTTGCTTGCACCAATCATTTATGTCACAGGCACACACACTTGTACACACACATAGAGCTACTATGACACAGTAACAACATAAGGAAAGAATAAAACCCAGTAAGTGGCTGATATAAATATTTTAAATACAGCATATTTAACAACGAAGGGAAACATTCATAACTAATTTTCCTTCTAATTCAAAAGTAACCTCACTCTTCCACATACTGAATTTACTCTAAATGTGATTACATATTGAGTTGTTCTACATCACAGGCGGAATATCAGGTTTTTAGTGAGATAATCCCTTATTAAATGCCTATTCTTTCAAACAGGTTTTAGGAGAAAAAGTGTTTAGAACAGAGTCAATTAATATTATATATCTCTGCAACTCTGTTTTGAAATTCTGTCCTTTGCTAGGTAACATTCTCTCTCTTTCTTTTTAAGAATGTCCTATGTGAATAGGACTTCAAAAAAATTGATTTTAGAGAGAGGAAGAGAGAGAGAGAGAGAGAGAGAGACATTGATATGAGAGAGAAACACCAATTGGTTGCCTCCCACATGCATCCCTACTGGGGATGGAACCCACAACCTGGTTATGTGCTCTGACCAGGAATCGATCCCACTACCTTTTGGGATACAGGATGACTCTCCAGCCAACTGAGCCATGCAAGCCAGGGCTCTCTCTCTCTCTCTCTTTTTAACACGCTTCTGGTAATATAACCTAAAATCACTCTGTTGTTCCATTTATTCTTCCTCAAAATATTATAATTTGTTTATTGTTCTTAATGGTCTCCTGAAACCTCTGGCTGGCCTTTTGTAGCTTTGGCTTTGAATGTATGCTCCTTTTGGAAATGTTCTCTATCTTCGGTTTTCGTCACAACACCTTTTCCCCCGTTCTACTGACAATTTTCCTACTTCTCACCCACTTTTATGGACACCTCTTCTTTAACCTATTCCTGACTGCCGATCCTCAGTGAGCTATCACTGCTCTCTTTCTAGAAAATCAATCCAATCAATGATTGTGGCTTCTACTATCACCTGTATAAACACTCACAGCCACAGGGTCAAGATCTCTCGTGAACTCAAGGCCCACATTTCAAATGGCTTACTCTGTATCACAATGTCCCATTGACAGTGTGCAGCAAGAATATACCGATAAAATAGACTGATGGATTAGCGGTGATGGCAAGCTAGTTCAATATTTAAAAATTATCCCTGCCCCAAGGTAACTCAAATTCAAAAGTGAATCTGCCATCTTTCCCTATAAATAATCTTGTGAGCCACATCTTAATTAGATACTATACATTGTCTACTTATATAAGCCAACTTGGTGATTCAAATTCCAAATTCCTTTTTTTTTTTTTTTACTTTTACTTATTTACAAGTTTAATAGCTTTCATAGTCATCTTCTCACTCTTGTTGCCACATTATTTTTTATTATTTAAGTGTTCCTATTGCTTAACTTTAGCAATTCATGACAGGTAGTCTAAACCCCTTCAATCTTACACTTACACTGCTATTAAAGTGAAAACTACATAATATTGCTCCTTGTTAAAACTTCTTCAATTGTACATCTAGGCACCAGCATACAAATATATATACTGTTTTGTATTTTATACAGGATCCATTATTCTCAGATTCTTTCTCACTTTCCCAGCATCAAATCTTCCTCCTGCTCAATTCACATCAAACTCCATCTCTCTACAACAATAAATTATATCTGTTCCAACTCCACCTCCCCTCAGCCCTTCCATCACTGCACCTCTGTGTGTATGTTATTTCATTAACCTGGAGTGACAGTCTACATATTAGTTAACTGGTAGACACTTGATCATCTCTGGGATCTCTAACTACAACCTGCCTTACTGCTCCAGAAAGACTAGGAGACCTCATTTTTCATTTTCCTACATGCCTCTGTATATTGTTCATATTTCTATTAGAGTAAATATCTCACTGTATTAGAGATATCTGTATATCCCCCAGAGTCTTGAGAACTTGCATTTAATTAATGTATGCTCACAAAATTAAGTTTTATATGAAAAACCCACCTTTTATTTGGGAAATATATAAATAGTTATATGTAAAGCACAATAAAAAATACAGTAAGAGAAAAGGTTCATAAATGTATTAAGCTATTGGTACACTTGACAAGCAACCATAAATAGTTTAAAGTAGTTCTCTGTAATAACATAAAATGAAGCAAAATAATCAATAACATTTAAGACAATAGACTGATGATCTAAGCGGAAATTTGGAGAGAGGGCTGGTATATGCACAAAACTCTGTAGAGAACATGCTTACATTTCAGTAACCTTATATGAAACAGAGACTGGGAATTGTCTTCCAGTTCCATTTTTTAAGTCATACTTTTGGTATGTTATTAAGCCAACCCTCTCATATATCCATCAGTCACTAGCACTGGAATGAACAAAAGCTCACATGCTTAATAGTGTTATAAAATGTAACACACATCTAGAGCCACAAGATGAAGAAACAGCCTGATAATGGAGCAGTTCTATAAAATGAGAACAGTCAACTTTTAGCATACTTTTTTGGTAAGATAAATTAATATTTGTTGAATGGCTCAAAATTTCTTTTTGAAACCACGTAGATGGCTCCACTGCCCAGAAAATTTTCTTAAGTTTTCCTATCTCTCTTCATAAAATGATATAATAAACTTATCAGTAGAAATACCTGATTTGCTCCATGAAGATCTGGAAATCCACCAACAAAGACAGACCCTGACTCTGGCAGGGGTTTTCCAGACATGTGATTGACAGATTCGCTTGCTTTTACATTCCTCCCTAGAATAGTCAGTTCAGCTTTACATGGGTCCAATTCTTGCCTGCAATCATTTAGGAAAGAAATTTATGGTTTTAGTATGTGTTATATAAACATTTGTCTGACCAATTAATTAAGCTATTAACAAAAGAAGAAAGATTTAAGTAAATAGACTATCTCACCATAAAACCAACAAAGCCAGAAGTAGATTAATCTGTTGTAAATTAGAAACACTTAATGCTTTAAGTACATAAATAGAAAGCTAAATTTTGACAAAACAACAAATTGTAGCAATCGTCTAATAGAGTAAATAAACCCTGATAATAAACAGATCTTTCAACAGTGATTTAAAAGATATTAGAGTATAATATTCTACTTTAGTTTTTTACATTGTTAAATTTTCTTTGTGAGTTAAAAATATTATATATATAGTTGCAATACTGCCTTCTTATCGCAATTTCACTTTCCATGGTTTTAGTTAGTCACATTGTCAAATTCAATCTAAAATATTAAATGGAAAGTGCCAGAAATAAACAATTTATAAGTTTCAAATTGTGTGTCAATCTGTATAGTGTGATGAAGTCTCACATTGTTATTCTCCTTCCTGCCTGGGACATGAATCATCCCTTTATCCGGTGTATACAAGCTATATATGCTATTAGCCCATTTGTCAATTAGTAGACACCTTGGCCATCTTGCAAACACCAGTATTGCAGTACTTATGTGCAAGTAATCCATATGATAGCCTAACACAAAGCCACAATGCCTGGGTCATTCACCTCAGTTTATCTCATTACATTGTATCATCTCACATCATCATAAGAAGGATGAATACAGTACAAGATAGTTTGAGAGAGAGAAGCCACATTCACATGACTTTTATTACAGTGTATTGTTATATTCATTTTATTTAATTAGTCATTATTGTTCATCTCATACTGTGTCTAATTTATAAATTAAGATTTATGATAGGTATGTACATATAAGAGAAGACGTAGTATGTAGGGTTTAGTATAGTCTATGGTTTTTTGGGGCATCCACTGGGGATCTCGGAATGTATCTTCCGAAGGCAAGGGAGTGAATGCGAAATATAGTGTACAATATATCTTTAGGTTGAAAACAGTAATATCGCAGTGAGTAATTAGTTGTGGTAATATGAATCATACCAAGATGTAAAGCATGCGAAAATCTGAGAAATGAATACATCAAATATAACTTAATTAGGTAACTGCCAATAATAATTTTCATGTGCCCACCATATTTTAGGAAGATGAGATAAAAAATACTTTGATGATACTTTTTTTTTTATCTTTACCCAAGGACATTTTTCCATTTTTTATTGTTGTTGTTCAGATAGAGTGAGAGGGAAAGAGAGGAAGAGAGAGAGAAACATCAATGTGAAAGGGACACATCGAGTGGCTGCCACCCGCAGGGCCAGGGACAAACTGCAACCGAGGTAAGTGCCCTTAGCGGGAACTGAACCCGGGTCTGTCTGGACCACAGGCTGATGCTCCAACCGCTGAGCCAAACCATCCAGAGCACTTTTACAATATTTTACATGTAGATATGCATGTCTCACTTTAGCCGTCTGTTTCATCATCTAATCTGGGGATTGAAAACTGGCATAAAGGCCAAATGCTGCCTTTCACCAGTCCATTGGTACAGCTTAACTGGACCAGAGGAACACATTTCTTTACACATAACCTATGACTGCTTTTACAGTAGGGCTGAGCAACAAAAACTCTAAGGCCCAAAGAACCCCAAATATTAACTATTTATCTCTACAGGGAAAAGTTAGTAGATCCATATCTAATCAATTTATCTCTTTAGCTACCAAGCATATAAATTGCATTATAATCCTTGCAGAGATTATAGTACATGTATTATAAGACACCTACATAGCAAGCACCTATCAGTGTCATTCAATATCATGTATAGGTAATATTCTATCTTCCAAATATTTATATAAACTTTTAATTGAATGATAATATGCATGATGAAGATGGTAAAGAACAAAGTTCTGTAAAATAACATATTGTCAAGATACTCAAGAAACCACTGTCAAATGGTAGAATATTACTCACAAAAATCTCTAGAAATATTAGCAACACAAATACACATTTTTATAATCTCTCCATCTTAATTTAACATTATGCTTTCAATATTCATTTTGTTATTGAATTTAATAGTAGTTTGTTCATTTTCAAGATACATCATTATATTGATATTTCACAAATTATTTATTCTAGATTTGGTATACATTTTTACATCTTGGTGCTATTATGAATATTGCTATTATAAAAATTCTTGACATGTAGAGTTAATCCTCTTTTGGATTTGAGATTATCAAATATCATTTTCTCTCTTTTATTTCCTAATTGTGATAAATTATGTTCACTGTTTTTTTAATGTTTGAATGCACTCCTCAAATAAATCTAATATTATCACAATGTATGTTTTTATTATATAGCACAGAATTCACTTTTCTATATTTTAAGAAATATATGTGTGTGTGGATATTTTTTTCATTGATTTTTAGAGAGAGTGTAATAAAGAGATGGACAAGAAGAGAGAGAGAGAGAGATGTGAGAGAGACATACTGATTGGTTGCCTCCAGCATGACTCCAACCAGGGCCGGGGATCAAACCTGCAACCCAAGTGCCCTTGACTGGGAGTCGAACCTGAGACCCTTCAGTGCATGGGTTGATGCTCTAACCACTGAGCATAACCAGCCAGGGCTCATGTCCATTTCAACTGTATTTTTTCTGAGAAATTTTTTCACTTAATATTTATTTTCAAAAGTATTGGCATAAAATATTTTATAATTTCCTCATATTATATTTTTATTGGTATTATAGCTATAATAATGTCTTTTTTATTACATTGACTACTTGTGTCTCTTTTTGCTTTTCAACTCACATCAAACTCCGTAGTTTATGTGTTTTGTAGACAAATATTGGCAGGGAGTAGTAAATTTCAAAGAACACACTTTTGCCACTGTTGATAGTCTTAATTCTCTATTTGCTTTCTACATCTTTAATGCCTACTCTTATCTTTATGATTTTCTTCCTTTAACTTTCTTTGGGCTTAATTTACTCTTCTATTTACAAGGTTTTTAATCTAAATTATGCTTTCAAGATTGTAAATCTTTCTCTAAGAATTAATTTAGCTATGTTTAACAAGTTTGATTTTTCATTATGTTCTGTTCAAAATATGTGCTAACTTCTTTTATATTTTTTCCCTTTGGTCCAAGAATTATTACAAATTTACAAATTTGCAGGGATTTTTTTTCTAATAGTATTATAAAATATTATTAAAGCTCAAATCAAGCTTGTTCAAAGAATGTTCTTTATTTGCTTTTAAGTCTTTGAAATGTATTTGCTTAGGCTGCATAGCCCAGGATATGAGCGATTTTAGTAACATTTTCATGAGCCTAGATGTCTGTAGTTAAGTGCAATATTCTAAATATGTGACTATGGTCAGGTTTTAACATATACAGAAACATACAAACATTTAGCTAATTTTATACTGAATGTAAAATGGAAACAAATACTTAAATCATGTTTATGATGTATGTATATTTTTTTTGTTAAAATATATGTACAGATTTTTTGTATCCTTCTTTTATCTACAACATAATATAAACTTAATAGAGCTAAAACCAATTGTGGCCATGTAGCCAATATTGAGGCATTTACAAATAAATTTTTGAAAAGATCAATGATGTTCTCCATGTTCAGAACATGAGAGAAAAATGTGTTGACATTATTAGAACCTATTTCTTATTCTTGAATTCTATATTTAAAGCAAACTAGAAGCTTTCTGGGTTAATTACTTATTACAATTAAACTATTAAAATATCATAGAGAGGTTATAGTTTCTAGGAAGCTATTCATTAACTGATAAAAATAAAAAGCAGAGCATCATGGTGGAGTGAGAAGACTCATATGTAACTCTCTTTAAATCTACAACTAGTCAGGTGTCTATAACCCAACAAAGATTCCTCTCTTCAACATATTACCACGCCTGAGAGATCCACAAAACCTGAAGGCAGACGTATTGAAACACAGAGGAGGGTACACCTGGGATATAGACAGGGAAGGGACTATGTCTGCAGATGCATTTCCCAGCTGCCACTATTGAGACTGCAGCCCTAGCTAATGTGATGGTGGTGGTGGTGAAGTCATATAGTTCAGCTCCCATACTATGATCCAGCAGAGGGTAAGAGCAAAAGCAGTGTTAGCACCCAAACATCCGGCTAACTCCCGACTGTGGCAGAGCCCAGTAGCAGCAATTGAGATATGCCTATAGTCTCCCAGCTATAGTACAACAGCTCCAGCAACCATAGAGAACCAAGTAACAGCATGGCAGGCTCTTGACCCTGGCTTTCCCACCACCACCACCTCTCCTTATCACGTTACAGTGCCCGAAGACTCAGATGACCTGAACACAGTGAGGATACCCACAACATATTATCCAGGAAGACATCCATTACCACAGCAATGCCCTGACACTATGGCCAGAGAAGTATAAGTAGCATAGGTGAGAGGAAACAAAAACTTGAACTGGAGTACCATCTATTGGGAAAAAAAAAAAAAAAAAAGACTTATATTATCAACCTTCTGAACTGGTTAAGTAAAAAATCAAATGGTACCTAAATCACTACTTTAAATACACTAACAGAGGACCAACCCACTAAGTACCAGGAACAATGAAGGCAATCTAATAATACAAAAAGAATATGACAATTCTCTAGAAATAAAACTTAAAATCATGGAAGACTAATTTAAAAGACAGAGAATTTAAGATTATAGTTATAAAGAAACTCAATGAGATACAAGTAAACTCATAAAGGCAGTTCAGTGAACTCAGGAATAAAATTAGTGAGCAAAAAGATACCAAAGAGATCAAAACTATGAAAAGAACAAAAGAAAAATTTTGGCATTGAAGAACTCAAAATGAAATGAAGAATGCATTAGAGAGCATTGGAAATGGAGAAGATCATATGGAAGAGGGAGTTAGTGAGCTTGAAGATAGAAACCTAGAATTCATTCAGGTAGGAAA